CTCATTCTCCTTCTTGTTCTCCTTCTTCTCTTTCTTCTCCTTCTTGTTCTCCTCCTTCTCCCCCTTCTCCTTGTTCTCCTTCTTTCTTGTTCTCCTTCTTCTCTTTCTTCTTCTCCTTCTTGTTCTCCTTCTTCTTCTCCTTCTTCTCTTTCTTGTTCTCCTTCTTGTTCTCTTCTTGTTCTCCTTCTTCTCCTTCTTGTTCTCCTTCTTCTTCTCCTTCTTCTCTTTCTTCTTCTCCTTCTTGTTCTCCTTCTTCTTCTCCTTCTTCTCTTTCTTCTTCTCTTTCTTGTTCTCCTTCTTCTCTTTCTTGTTCTCCTTCTCCTTCTTTCTCCTTCTTCTTCTCCTTCTTCTCTTTCTTCTTCTCCTTGTTCTCCTTCTTCTTCTCCTTCTTCTCTTTCTTGTTCTCCTTCTTCTCCTTCTTGTTCTCAGTCTCTTCTTCTCTTTCTTCTTCTCCTTCTTCTCCTTCTTGTTCTCCGTCTCCTTCTTCTTCTTGTTCTCCTTCTTCTCTTTCTTCTCCTTGTTCTCCTTCTTAGTCTCCTTCTCTTTCTTCTCCTGCTTTTCCTTGTCATTCTCCTCTTGTTCTCTTTGTTCTCCTCCTTCTTCTCCTTCTCCTTCTTGTTCTCCTTCTTCTCTTTTCTTTTTCTCCTTCTCTTTCTTCTTCTCCTTCTTGTTCTCTTTCTTCTCCTCGTCTTTCTTGTTCTCCCCCTTCTTTTCCTTGTCATTCTCTGTCTTCTCCCTCTTGTTCTCCCTCTTCTCTTTCTTTTTCTCCTCCTTCTCCCCCTTCTCCTTGTTCTCCTTCTTCTCCTTCTCCTTCTTGTTCTTTTTGTTCTCCTCCTTCTCCTTCTCGTTCTCCTCCTAAACCCACGCGTCCTTCTTTATCTATTTTTTGGTTTGAAGAATTATTTAAAAAAAGAAAACTAAAAAAAAAACAGCCAAATTCTTAAGTCTAAATCCCGTCTCTTTTCTCTTTTCTTTTTTCTTAAATGTGTTGTTTTCGTGTGTATCTCGCTCTTTCTTCCCCTCCTCCTCCTCTTTCTCATCCTCCTCTTTCTCTTCCTCTTCTTTCTCTTCCTCTTCTTTCTCGTCGTCCTCGTCTTTCTCCTCGCGTCTGTGCGTTTCTTTTGTGTTCGGGTGTGTAGGCGAGGACAAAGCCGCTCCGCTCCGTCCATAGTCTCCGGGCGAACGGGGCCGCGGACGCCGGGGCTCGTGCAGACGCCGCCGCGTTTACGGTGGAAATATAAAGCCAACCGGCCTCCGCTTCTCGCTTCTTTTCTTGACCTTGTGGATTTCCTTTTGTCCCTTTACACACGTTCGGTCTGTTGAGCCGCTGCAGAGTTTTTCTGATTTTGGCAAGTCACAGTTGTAAAGTTTTTCTGCTTTTATGTTACATTTTCTTATCTCTTTTGGACAAAACGGTTCTGTGATCTGTAGAGATTTTCCACAAAGGCCGGAAGTTTCTCGCTTTCAGTTTGTGTTACTTCCGGTTAATGGTTTTCTGTGTCAAAATGTGTGTGTAAATGTGTAAATGTGTGTAAATGTGTGTGTAAATGTGTAAATGTGTGTGTAAATGTGTAAATGTGTGTAAATGTGTAAATGTGTGTGTAAATGTGTGTGTAAATGTGTGTGTAAATGTGTGTAAATGTGTGTGTAAATGTGTGTGTAAATGTGTAAATATGTGTGTAAATATGTGTGTGTAAATGTGTGTGTAAATGTGTGTGTAAATGTGTGTGTGTAAATGTGTGTGTAAAGGTGTAAATGTGTGTGTAAATGTGTGTGTAAAGGTGTAAATGTGTGTGTAAATGTGTGTGTGTAAATGTGTGTGTAAATGTGTGTGTAAATGTGTGTGTGTAAATGTGTGTGTAAAGGTGTAAATGTGTGTGTAAAGGTGTAAATGTGTGTGTAAAGGTGTAAATGTGTGTGTAAATGTGTGTGTAAATGTGTGTGTAAGTGTGTAAATGTGTAAATGTGTGTGTAAAGGTGTAAATGTGTGTGTAAATGTGTGTGTAAATGTGTGTGTAAATGTGTAAATGTGTGTGTAAATGTGTGTGTAAATGTGTGTGTAAATGTGTGTGTAAATGTGTGTGTAAATGTGTGTGTAAAGGTGTAAATGTGTGTGTAAATGTGTGTAAATGTGTGTGTAAAGGTGTAAATGTGTGTGTAAATGTGTGTAAATAAATGTGTGTGTAAATGTGTAAATGTGTGTGTAAATGTGTGTGTAAATGTGTAAATGTGTGTGTAAATGTGTGTGTAAAGTGTGTAAATGTGTGTAAATGTGTGTAAATGTGTGTGTAAAGGTGTAAATGTGTGTGTAAATGTGTGTGTAAATGTGTAAAGGTGTAAATGTGTGTGTAAATGTGTGTGTAAAGGTGTGTGTAAATGTGTGTGTAAATGTGTGTGTAAATGTGTAAATGTGTGTGTAAATGTGTGTGTAAAGGTGTAAATGTGTGTGTAAATGTGTGTGTGTAAATGTGTGTGTAAATGTGTGTGTAAATGTGTGTGTAAATGTGTGTGTGTAAATGGTGTGTGTAAATGTGTGTGTAAAGTGTGTGTAAATGTGTGTGTAAATGTGTGTGTAAATGTGTAAATGTGTGTGTAAATGTGTGTAAATGTGTGTGTGTAAATGTGTGTGTAAATGTGTGTGTAAATGTGTGTGTAAATGTGTGTGTAAATGTGTGTGTGTGTGTAAATGTGTGTGTAAAGGTGTAAATGTGTGTGTAAATGTGTGTGTAAATGTGTGTGTAAAGTGTGTAAATGTGTGTGTGTAAATGTGTGTGTGTAAATGTGTGTGTAAATGTGTGTGTGTAAAGGTGTAAATGTGTGTGTAAAGGTGTAAATGTGTGTGTAAATGTGTGTGTAAATGTGTGTGTAAATGTGTGTGTAAAGGTGTACATGTGTGTTTCATAAATCTTTTCCATCACCAAATCTTCCACCAACAAACTCCACAAACAATAAACTAAGTCTGTCCAATTAATCCAAGTTTGATCACAATTTCTTCTTATTCCACTTCTTCTTTTTCCTCTTCTTATTCCTCCTCCTTCTTTTCTTTTTCCTCTTCTTCTTCTTCTGCTTCCTTTTCTTATTCCTCCTCCTTCTCTTCTTTTTCCTCTTCTTCTTCTTCTTCCTCTTCTTATTCGTCCTCCTTCTTTTCTTTTTCCGCTTCCTCTCTTCTCTTCTTCTTCTGCTTCCTCTTCTTCCGCTTCTTCTTCTGCTTCCTCTTCTTCCGCTTCCTTTTCTTATTCCTCCTCCTTTTCTTCTTCTCCCTCTTCCTCTTCTTCTTCCTCCTCCTTCTCTTCTTTTTCCTCTTCTTCTTCTTCTTCCTCTTCTTATTCGTCCTCCTTGTTTTCTTTTTCCGCTTTCTCATCTTCCTCTTCTTCTTCTGCTTCCTCTTCTTCTTCCACTTCCTTTCTTATTCCTCCTCCTTTTCTTCTTCCTCTTCCTCTTCTTCCTCTTCTTATTCCTCCTCCTTCTCTTCTTTTTCCGCTTCCTCTTCTTCTTTTTCCTCTTCCTCTGCTTCCTCTTCTTACTCCTCCTCCCTCTCTTCTTCTTCCTCTTCTTTTTCCGCTTCCTCTTCTTCTTTTTCCTCTTTTTCTTCTTCTCAAAAAAAGAACACAAGTTTTAAATAGTTTTTCGGTGCCGTAAACGCAGCCAAAATGAGAGAGAAAAAAGCTGTTTGTTTTTAATCAAAGTGGCTTTAGTTCATCGTGTTTCAATATTTTGAGTTTCATTGTGATTTTTATTTGTTTATCACACCTGCGTTTGATTTGGATAAACGCAAAAAAAACTCTGAAACTCACAAAGCAACACGAGCTCCAAACACTTTCTAAACGTGAGGAGAAATCGACGCTGCAGAATTGTAAATAAACGGCGTCGCTTTTCTTCTCATTTGTTGTATTTTGTTGTTGTATTTTGCATCTTTTCATCGTAAACGTCGTCTCGCTGAATCAGTAACTCCCACGTTTCCTGCCGCCTCAGCGTTGGTCAGACTCGGAATAAAAGATCTGCTTCTTCTGCTTCTCCTTCTTTCTGCTTCTTCTTCTGCTTCTTCTTCTTCTTCTGCTTCTTCTTCGCTTCTTTGTTCTTCTGCTTCTTCTGCTTCTTCTACTTCTTCTGCTTCTTTTGGTTCTTCTGCTTCCTTCTTCTGCTTCTCTTCTGCTTTTGTTCTTCTGCTTCTTCTACTTCTGCTTTTTTTCCTTCTTCTGCTTTTTGTTCTTCTGCTTCTTCTCCTTCTTCTGCTTCTTCTGCTTCTTCTTTCTTCTGCTTCTTTCTGCTTCTTCTTCTACTTCTTCTGCTTCTCTTTCTTCTACTTCTTCTGCTTCTTCTACTTCTTCTACTTCTGCTTCTTTTGATTGATTGATTCGTTTTTATTTCGAGTTTGTGCCAAGAGAGAAACAATAATCATATATATACTACATACACATTGTAAACAACAGAAAAGCACATTGCTCAAAGGAGTGGGAAGAAGAAAAACTTATATTCTTCTGCTTCTTCTGCTTCTGCCTCTTTTGCTTCCTCTGTTTCTTCTTATTTCTCTTCTGCTTCTTATTCTTCATCCTCCTCCTTCTTCTGACACTTTGAAGAGAAATCGACGCTGCTTTACTTTTTTTTTTCCTCTCATTTGTTGTATTTTGTTGTTGTATTTTGCATCTTTTCATCGTAAACGTCGTCTCGCTGAATCAGTAACTCCCACGTTTCAGCGTTGGTCAGACTCGTAATAAAAGTTCTGCTCCATTAGGCCGACATCTGTACAAATCATATTGGACGACCTCCTCCTTGACCTGCCTAATACGGCCGCCCTCGTTCCCACAGCGCCGGCCTAGCGCGCGGTTCGACTCGCGAGCGAACAGACTCACTTTCGCTCTCTCGCCGGCGTGAACGGGAGGTGTGTGCGCGAAGCCCGGGGTCATCGCGCCGACAAAAAGCAATAAAAATGCAATCCCACTTTTAATAAAGCAATTAGAACTCATAGTCAGGTTCAATTAATGCAGGTTTTCCATTAAGAGGAGCCGGGGACGAGGGACGGGGGACGGGGACGAGGGACGGGGGACGGGGGACGGAGGACGAGGGACGGGGACGAGGACGAGGGACGGGCGGACGAGACGAAGGACGGGGGGACGAGGACGACGAGGACGAGGGACGGGGACGAGGGACGGGGACGGGGCGAGGACGGGGACGACGGGGACGAGGGACGGGGAACGAGGGACGGGGGACGGGGGACGGGGGACGGGGGACGGAGGACAGGGACGAGGGCGGGGACGGAGGGGGACGGGGGACGAGGGACGGAGGACGAGGGACGGGGGACGGAGGACGAGGGACGAGGGACGAGGGACGGGGACGAGGGGACGGGGGACGAGGGACGGAGGACGAGGGACGGGGACACGAACGACGACGGGGACGAGGGAGGGGACGGGGGACGGGGACGGGGGACGGGGGGGGACGAGGGACGAGGGGACGAGGACGGGGGACGAGGGACGGGGGACGAGGGACGGGGACGGGGACGAGGGACGGGGACGGGGACGAGGGGACGGGGACGAGGGCAGGGGCAGGGGCACAAAGGACAGGAACGACACGCACGGACAGGAGCACAAACGACAGGAGCACAAACGACAGGAGCACAAACGACAGGAGCAACACAAACGACAGGAGCACAAACGACAGGAGCACAAACGACAGGAGCACAAAACGACAGGAGCACTAACGACAGGAAGCACAAACGACAGGAGCACAAACAGGAGCACAACGACAGGAGCACAAACGACAGAGACAAACGACAGGAGCACAAACGACAGGAGCACAAACGACAGGAGCACAAACGACAGGAGCACAAACGACAGGAGCACAAACGACAGGAGCACAAACGACAGGAGCACTAACGACAGGAGCACAACGACAGGAGCAACGTAACTAACGACAGGAGCCAAACGACAGGAGCACAACAGGAGCACAAACGACAGGAGCACAAACGACAGGAGCACAAACGACAGGAGCACTAACGACAGGAGCACAAACGACAGGAGCACAAACGACAGGAGCACTAACGACAGGAGCACAAACGACAGGAGCACAAACGACAGGAGCACAAACGACACGAGCACAGAGCAAACGACAGGGCACAAACGACAGGAGCACAAACGACAGGAGCACAAACGACAGGAGCACAAACGACAGGAGCGCTCGTTACTCTCAGTGTTTCTCTTCACTTAAAATTTAGACGAATGTGAAAAAACTTTATATTTTGGTCAGTGTAAACAGGTCTAAACAAGGTCTAAACCAGGTCTAAATCAGGTCTTAAATCAGGTCTAAACAAGGTCTAAACTAGGTGTAAACCAGGTCTAAACCAGGTCTAAACAGGTCTAAACCAGTCTAAAAAGGTCTAAACAAGGTCTAAACCAGGTCTAAACCAGGTCTAAACCAGGTCTAAACCAGGTCTAAACCAGGTCTAAACAAGGTCTAAACCAGGTTAAACTAAACAGGTCTAAACCAGGTCTAAACCAAGGTCTTTAACCAGATCTTAAAGCAGATCTAAATCAGTCCTAAACCAAGTCTAAACTAGGTCTTAAACCAGGTCTAAACCAGGTCTAAACCAAGTCTAAACCAAGTCTAAACCAGGTCTTTAACCAGATCTTAAACCAGATCTAAAATCAGGTCCTAAACCAGGTCCAAATCAGGTCTAAACCGAGTCTAAACCAGGTCTAAACAAGGTCTAAACCAGGTCTTTAACCAGATCTTAAAGCAGATCTAAATCAGGTCCTAAACCAGGTCTAAACCAGGTCTAAACCAGGTCTAAACCAGGTCTTAAACCAGGTCTTAAACCAGGTCTAAACCAGGTCTTCTAAACCAGGTCTAAACCAGGTCTAAACCAGGTCTTAAACCAGGTCTAAACCAGGTCTAAACCAGGTCTTAAACCAGGTCTAAAACCAGGTCTTAAACCAGGTCTACCAGGTCTAAACCAGGTCTTAAACCAGGTCTTAAACCAGGTCTAAACCAGGTCTAAACCAGGTCTAAACCAGGTCTAAACCAGGTCTAAACTCAAACCAGGTCTAGGTCTCCAGGTCTAAACCAGGTTCTTAAACCAGGTCTAAACCAGGTCTAAACCAGGTCTAAACCAGGTCTTAAACCAGGTCTTAAACCAGGTGTCAATCAGGTCTCCATGGAGATGTTTCTGATTTGGAATGTTCCATGTTGTGACTTTAAACGGCAGTAGCTCAGTTGGTGGTTTGTCGCTGTTTGCTGGTGTGATTCCAGCTCCCACAGATGAATGCTGTCGTCGTGTCCTTGGGCAAGACACTTAACCCTCCTCGCCCCCGTGTGTGTGTGTGTGAATGTTGTTTCCAGGTCAAAATGTTTATGTTGAGATCTTAAACTGACCAAAAACCGCCTGGAGTTTCATCATTTATTGTGAAATCTGCGTCTGATTGAGGTTTCCTGTTCTTCTGACGCTGTTGTCATTTCAGAGTTCAGGAAGTGTTTTAGAGACGTGGTGTCGGTCGTCGTCTCCCGTCGTCGTCCGTCGTCGTCATGGTGTTGTTTTGTTTGGCAGGTGCTGTGTATCTGGAGGGGGGACTGGACGAGGCCCGGCAGCTTTTCGGACGACTTCTCTTCAACACCGAGGTGACGCGACGCTCTTCTTCTTCTTCTTTTCTTCTTCTTCTTCTTCTCCTCTTCTCTAATTTATTTAATCTCACTCTCACAAACAAGATAAGATTTAGAATTTCCGCCGATCTAAACCAGGTCTAAACCAGGTCCAAACCAGGTCTAAACCAGGTCTAAACCAGGTCTAAACCAGGTCCAAACCAGGTCTAAACAGGTCTAAACCAGGTCCAAACCAGGTCTAAACCAAGGTCTAAACCAGGTCTAAACCAGGTCTAAACCAGGTCCAAACCAGGTCTAAAACCAGGTCTAAAACCAGGTCTAAAACCAGGTCCAAACCAGGTCTAAACCAGGTCCAAACCAGGTCCAAACCAGGTCTAAACCAGGTCTAAACCAGGTCTAAACCAGGTCTAAACCAGGTCCAAACCAGGTCCAAACCAGGTCCAAACCAGCTCTAAAACCAGCTCTAAATCCAGGTCTAAACCAGGTCCAAACCAGCTCTAAATCCAGGTCTAAACCAGGTTTAATCCAGGTCCAAACCAGGTCCAAACCAGCTCTAAATCAGGTCCAAACCAGGTCTAAACCAGGTCTAAACAGGTCCAAACCAGGTCTAAACCAGGTCTAAACCAGGTCCAAACCAGCTCTAAAACCAGGTCTAAACCAGCTCTAAAACCAGGTCTAAACCAGGTCTAAACCAGGTCCAAACCAGCTCTAAAACCAGGTCTAAACCAGGTCTAAACCAGGTCCAAACCAGGTCTAAACCAGGTCCAAACCAGCTCTAAAACCAGCTCTAAATCCAGGTCTAAACCAGGTTTAATCCAGGTCCAAACCAGCTCTAAATCAGGTCCAAACCAGGTCTAAACTAGGTCTAAACCAGGTCCAAACCAGCTCTAAAACCAGGTCTAAACCAGGTCTAAACCAGGTTCAAACCAGGTCCAAACCAGGTCCAAAAAGCTCTAAAACCAGCTCTAAACCAGTCTAAAACAGGTCTAAACCAGCTCTAAAACCAGGTCTAAACCAGGTCCAAACCAGGTCCAAACCAGCTCTAAAACCAGCTCTAAAACCAGGTCTAAACCAGGTCAAAACCAGGTCTAAACCAGCTCTAAAACCAGGTCTAAACCAGGTCTAAAACCAGGTCTAAAACCAGGTCTAAACCAGGTCTAAAACCAGCTCTAAATCCAGATCTAATCCAAGTCTAAACCAGGTCTAAAACCAGATCTAATCCAGGTCTAAACCAGGTCTAAACCAGGTCCAAAACAGCTCTAAAAACAGCTCTAAACCAGGTCTAAACCAAGTTTAATCCAGGTCCAAACAAATGACAATTGTGAAGAGGAACAAATGAAATAAGTTTTGGGGACATCAGAAAGGCGAGATGGCGGCGGCAGATCGGCCATGTTGCGTCGACCACCTGCTCTTGTTTGAATTATGGATGAAAACGCTGCAAAAAAATCACTTTACATTTCAATTTGCCACGTTTTTTCTCCATTGTGAATTAAACTCACGTAGGATTCTCAAAAATATCAAAAACTAACACCAAAATACTAAATAAAACTAGAATTTATATTAAACTGCAGTTTTTGGTACAGAGCGAGAATGACATTTATAGGACAAATTTGGAGCTTTTCTGGATTGTTTTGGTCGTCTTTCATATCCAAACTAGAATAAAACCACACGATAATATTTTGGAAACATCTACTGATACTTTGTGAAGCTAACTGGAGGCACTGCTCTGTCTGAAGCTCTGTTAGACTTTAATCCGAGTTTTGTTTTAACACAATCTGACCAGAAAGTTGAGTTGACTGATCACAGGCTCCTGAAAATGTGCTCTTTCAAACCCATTTTTTGTATTTTTGATTGAGTTTTAAGACTTTTTTTTTTTGTTTTTGTTTTTTTTGGAGCCAGTGTTTGTGTCTCCACGGTAACCGCTGAACATTTCGCCAAAGACAGACATGCAGGACACCCACAGCATGATGTCACCGCCAAGTATGGTGAACTTTACCAGAACGAGCGTAAGACCAGATCTAAACCAGATCATTAAAAGGACTATTCCAGGTCTAGGGCCAAACCAGGTCTAATCCATGGTCCCTGGTTTAGACCTGGTTTAGTCCTGGTTTAGTCCTTGGTTCAGTCCTGGTTTAGTCCTGGTTAAGTCTCTGGTTTAGTTTTTGGTTTAGTCCTGTTTTAGTCCCTGGTTTAGTCCTGGTTTAGTCCTTATTCAGTCCTGCTTTAGTCCTGGTTTAGTCCTGGTTTAGTCCTGTTTTAGTCCTTATTCAGTCCTGGATTAGTCCTGCTTTAGTCCTGGTTTAGTTCTTGGTTTAGTCCTGGTTTAGTTCTTGGTTTAGTCCCTGGTTTAATCCTTGGTTTAGTCCCAGTTTAGTCTTGGTTTAGTCCTGGTTTAGACGTGGTTTAGTCCCTGGTTTAGTCCTGGTTTAGTTCTTGGTTCAGTCCTGGTTTAGTCCCTGGTTCAGTCCTGGTTTAGTTCTTGGTTTTGTCCTGGTTTAGTCCTTGGTTTAATCCTTGGTTTAGTCCCAGTTTAGTCCTGGTTTAGACGTGGTTTAGTCCTGTTTAGTCCTTGGTTTAGTCCTGGTTTAGTCTTTGGTTTAGTCCCTGGTTTAGTCCCTGGTTTAGTCCTGGTTTAATCCTTGGTTTAGTCCCAGTTTAGTCCTGGTTTAGACGTGGTTTAGTCCAGGTTTAGTCCCTGGTTCAGTTGTGGATTATTCCCTGGTTTAGTTCTGGTTTAGTCCTTGGTTTAGTCCTTGGTTTAGTCCTTGGTTTAGTCCTGGTTTAGTCCTGGTTTAGTCCTGGTTTAGTCCTGGTTTAGTCCGGGTTTAGTCCTGGTTTAGTCCTGGTTTAGTCCTGGTTTAGTCCAGGTTTAGTCCTGGTTTAGTCCTTGGTTTAGTCCAGGTTTAGTCCTGGTTTAGTCTTGGTTTAGTTCTTGGTTTAGTCCTGGTTTAGTCCTTGGTTTAGTCCTGGTTTAGTCCTGGTTTAGTCCTGGTTTTGGTCTCTTCAGTCTCGGGTTCTGGGTCTGTGTGTGTCCTCTGGGCCCTGCTCCAGCAGGGGGCGCACAAACAAAACTATTTCGGGCGACTGTGTTTGAAACCCTGGCGGCGTCTCCACGGCAACAGACCGTCCCCCCGACGCCCCGGTGACCGCGAGCGAGGACTCGATCAGCCGCGAACTAACGACTCATCAAACTCTCTCATTGTGCGTTTGGATTTAGGTTTATCCAGAGTTTATGTCACAGCGACGTTAAAAATGAAAGAAAAGAAGAAAAACAGACGCAGGAAATGTTCTGTTTATATTTTATGATTGAAACAAAATCTAACAGTGATTTAACCAGGACTAAACCAGGACTAAACAAGGACTAAACCAGGCTAAACCAGGACTAAACCAGGACTAAACAAGGACTAAACCAGGGCTAAACCAGGACTAAACCAGGACTAAAGGGACTAAAACCAGGACTAAACCAGGACTAAACCAGGTCTAAACCAGGACTAAACCAGGGACTAAACCAGGACTAAACCAGGAACTAAACCAGGTACTAAACCTAAACAGGACTAAACCAGGACTAAACCAAGGACTAAACCAGGACTAAACCAGGACTAAACCAAAACCAGGTCTAAACCAGGACTAAACCAGGTCTAAACCAGGACTAAACCAGGACTAAACCAGGACTAAACCAGGTCTAAACCAGGACTAAACCAGGACTAAACCAGGTCTAAACCAGGACTAAACCAGGACTAAACCAGGACTAAACCAGGACTAAACCAAAGACTAAACCAGGACTAAACCAAGAACTAAACCAGGACTAAACCAGGGACTAAACCAAAGACTAAACCAGGACTAAACCAGGGACTAAACCAGAACTAAACCAGGTCTAAACCAGGACTAAACCAGGACTAAACCAGGACTAAACCAGGACTAAACCAGGACTAAACCAGACTAAACCAGGACTAAACCAGGTACTAAACCAGGACTAAACCAAGGACTAAACCAGGACTAAACCAGGACTAAACCAGGACTAAACCAGGACTAAACCAGGACTAAACCAGGACTAAACCAGGACCAGGAAACCAGGACTAAACCAAGGACTAAACCAGGACTAAACCAGGACTAAACCAGGACTAAACCAGGACTCTAAACCAGGACTAAACCAGGACTAAACCAGGACTAAACCAGACTAAACCAGGACTAAACCAGGACTAAACCAGGGACTAAACCAGGACTAAACCAAGGACTAAACCAGGTCTAAACCAGGACTAAAACCAGGACTAAACCAGGACTAAACCAACCAGGGAAACCAGGACTAAACCAGGACTAAACCAAGGACTAAACCAGGACTAAACCAGGACTAAACCAGGACTAAACCAAGGACTAAACCAGGACTAAACCAGGACTAAACCAAGGACTAAACCAGGACTAAACCAGGTAAACTAAACCAGGACTAAACCAGGACTAAACCAGGACTAAACCAGGACTAAACCAAGGACTAAACCAGGACTAAACCAGGTCTAAACCAGGACTAAACCAGGACTAAACCAGGACTAAACCAGGACTAAACCAGGACTAAACCAGGACTAAACCAGGACTAAACCAGGACTAAACCAGGACTAAACCAGGACTAAACCAAGGACTAAACCAGGACTAAACCAGGTCTAAACCAGGACTAAACCAGGACTAAACCAGGACTAAACCAGGACTAAACCAAGGACTAAACTAAACCAGGACTAAACCAGGACTAAACCAGGCAGGACTAAACCAGGACTAAACTAAACCAGGGGACTAAACCAAAGGACTAAACCAGGACTAAACCAGGACTAAACCAGGACTCTAAACCAAGGACTAAACCAGGACTAAACCAGGACTAAACCAAGGACTAAACCAAGGACTAAACCAGGACTAAACCAAGGACTAAACCAGGACTAAACCAGGAACTAAACCAGGTCTAAACCAGGACTAAACCAGGACTAAACCAGGACTAAACAGGACTAAACCAGGACTAAACCAAGGACTAAACCAGG